ATGAGAGATAGTTATCTTATCAGTTCACGACATCCAAAGTTGAGTATTAAGTAATTTTTAGAAATATTAAGTAGTATTAAGAAATATTTTTTTATTAAAAGAAAACTTTTAATAAAATACTAAAATAAATTTAGTCAAAAAAAATTTCTTAATTTTATAAAAAAGATCATTTATTATTCTATAAATTTGCCCCCAGTCCCAAATATCTAATAAATAAAAAATCGAATTTTAATTAGAATTTAATCTAATTTTAATCGAATAAATTTTAATATATAAAAAATACAAATTTATTACTAATAAATAAATTTAGTTTTAAACAAAAATTTATTCATTACTCTTATAAGAAAATTTAAATGTTTTACTCTTTATTTTGAAATTAAAATAAAATTTGTTCAACTTTTGTGTGACTGAACATAAAATGGCTAAAAGTTGAGACTAGATTTTAGGAAAATCTTGTTAAATTTTTTATTTCTATATGAAGAACATTGCTCAAATCTATGAACAAACTAAAATAAAATACTATGAAAGTGTGATAGAACAAAGTGAATAAAGATTGCAATTGTAAGTAATAAATGTATAAAATATTCCCCGCTGTCTAAATTATCGAAATATAGAGAAATCTATTCCGATCTCTCAACAATCTTCTGCAAAATACACTTTCACAATATACTTTGAACAAGCCGCTGCAATATTCAACTTACTCGCAAAAATAATCAAATTATGTTAATAATTTATTGGAATTATTCGCAAGGCAACATATTAAATAATTTTCGCTAAAAATGTCTAATTATAATTTTCAATTAATGTAAAAAGAACGATAATTATAGTAGAATAAAATTAACAAAACCATGAAATTTAATCTTACATTTGACTAGGGAGTTGTTTTCTCCGCCATGTTATAACACTCATCATCAACAGAACGTTGGGTGCGTTGGGTGTTGGATTACTCGCAGACGCCAGTAGCAGCCGATAGGAGTTTATGCGTGTTAGTTTTTCTTAGTTCATTGTATCATTTGGACTGATAGGACGCGTTATATCGCATAATTGGGCGGGGTCCTTCCGTCGCTTCCAATCATTAAGATCTAATTTACATTAATAAATCAACGAGGTTCTTGTATTCAAGAATAATAATAACAATCGTGGTGATAAAATAAATATTGTCAGAGTAAATTCAGTCCTGTATTGGGTGTGTCATGATGCGTGCTGCTGGTTTAACTGTCATATGTGCATTACTGCAAATAGGTGAGTACATACATTAACGTAAGCTTCCCTTATTTATCATTTGTAATATTGCATATTTATATTTTGTAACTGATTAAAATATGATCCCCCACACCCCTTTGTAGCGCCATATTTACCCCAAATAGAAAATTCCTCTTCACGTGTCTACGAATAATACACAGAGTGGTTTACACAATTGGACTAGATTCTAGCATCTGTTGTATTGAAAATAAAAAAATTATACAGGCAAAAATTGAATGGTATAACAAGACATATTTTTCTTCGTAAGTGCAATAATGCACCAAAAAAATACAATTGCCCTTTTTTAAAAATGCAATTATATATTAAAAATATTTGCTTCTATCATATTTTTCTATTTTCAACAGAACAAGTGCTAAAACCTGATCCAGTTGCATAGATAATATGATGATATTGCCTATTATATGTTAAAATAATATTCACATATTTCAGTTGCGGGTCAACGTACTCCAACGATATCTTATATCTCACAGGAACAAATCAAAGATATCGGTGAATCTGTAGAATTACGATGCATCGTTCAATATGCAAGTGACTATCCTATTTTGTGGATTAAGATTGATAAATCATCAAATGATCAAGTTACACTGTCTTATAATCAAGGAGTGGCACTTAGAGACAGCAGATTCTCTCTTAAACATGAACAAGCATCCAGTAGTTACATTTTACAAGTAAGATTTGATTAAAATGCTTCCAATCTGAAAATATATTTACTACTTACTTAGTATTGTATACTTTAAACAATACTTTTAACATGGAATTAACATGCTTTATTTTTAGATTAAAGACATACAAGAAACGGATGCTGGATTATATCAATGTAAAATACAGCTCAGTTTAACCAATCATATAAATGCACAAGTTGAAATATTAGTTCGTAAACAACCGATAATTAGTGACAACTCGACCCAATCTCAAGTGGTCAGCGAAGGACAATCTATTTTACTGGAGTGCTATGCCACTGGCTATCCAGCGCCAAGAATTTCATGGCGCAGGGAGAACAATGCAATCCTGCCTACTGGAGGATCGATTGCTCGGTATAATTATTTATACAAATTGTTGTTAAATATTTGATAATATGTATTGTGCAATAATCCAAGAATATTTTAACAGCGGTCACAAATTGAAGATATCTTCCATTCAAAAAGATGACCGTGGAACTTATTACTGTGTTGCTGAAAACGGCGTTGGACGTGGGGCTAGACGTAATATCAATGTGGAGGTTGAATTTAAGCCAGTGATTTCGGCTGCAAGACCACGACTCGGACAGGCTTTGCAATACGACATGGATTTAGAGTGTCACGTAGAGGCGTATCCACCCCCAGCTATTATCTGGCTCAAGGATGGAATTCAGTTGTCAAATAATCAGCACCACACTATATCACATTTTGCAACTGCCGACGAATATACCGACTCCACGCTTCGAGTTATTACTATAGAAAAACGGCAATATGGAGAATACAAATGCCGTGCAGCCAACAAACTAGGCACTGATGAGACAACAATTGAGCTTTTTGGTAAGAAAACATAAAAAATAAAGAATATATATAAAAAAAAGACAAAATTAATATATATATAGTATTTTTGCGTATTATGCATCATTGTGTAGATAACATTTATAGTTCGAATGATAAAATATGTTGAATGTATTAATAGAATAACTTTATACTTTGTTTCTGTTTACCGTATTGTAACCAATTATTCATCTTGTTATCTAAATTATAAACTTTAATTTATATCTATATGCATCTTGCATTTCTCACGATTATATCTCTTATATTTTTTTCAACTTTACCTTTGTTTTCTTAGCCAAATTGCAATGGATTTATTTTCAGTTAGCATGTTTTAGATTTGTTTTCTCATTTGTTTGCGCAGAAACTATTATCCCAGTTTGCCCGCCAGCTTGTGGCCAAGCTTATTATGGAACTGATGTAGTCCCAATTTCTTCAGGACCTTTGGTAGCTCTAGTTTTATTAATTACAATGTTAATGAGGTAAATTATCTTTCATATATTCGTATAGTAATAATAGTTTGGAATAGTTTTACCAAAGTTCTCTAATTCTACCAAATCTTTATATCTATGCGTACATTTGTTTTTACAGAAATTTCCACGCCAAATATTAATTATCCAGGTCTACAATGGGCTGCAGCAAGTCAATGCGACTTCTTAATATGGCTCTATATCATTATCTCTATTGTTGTAGTTGTAACTCTGTAAAATTGAAACTGAAATTGTGACGGCCTCGATTAACATTTTACTAACTTTTTATATTTGCATATCATACGACAAATTTTATAATTACTTCTAAATGACAATTTACCAAAAATGCAAAAGTTTAAAATTTAGTATATTGTTTACACAATATATATTATATTCTATTAGATTTGCTAGTTTTTTATGCTTATACTTTCATTTCTTTCAGAATCTTTTTATGTATATAATAGATATTTTACATAATTTAGATCGGAAAGTTTGATCTATCGTATGTTTTAAATGAAAATGGCCAATCTCCTTTTTTTTAATATCATATATATTGCGCATTGTTAGACTGCTCAATTTATATAATTCGTACTTACATCGAACATTTAATTATATTCAAACAATATTAAATCAAATGAAAGCAGTAATTTCATAGGATATTTTAGAGAAAGCGGTATGATACGTATGATATAATTTTCATGAATCTGCCATACTGCTTTGATATTTTTGTTGCTAATTTTCTTATTAAAAACTAAGTCATATCATTTTGAATAGAGGCCAACGACGTACAAATGTTGGCAGGGTACAAACTAACATTTCTGTATATATAATTATACAGGATGTTACGTAACGCGGGACCCAGTATAAGAAAAAAAAATCTTGGCCTCAGTCATTGCAACTGATAGATCGCGGAAAAGTGAAGAATGATGAAATGAAACATATTATCATATTATCTTTCAGATGGTTATTAATAGCTACAAATCGACAATACAGATTTGGTAACATTTGTGTGCAGAATCTGACAGTAGAATTATCCCCCATTCTTCTTCTCTTTCAACGAAGAAGGTTGATATGTCATGAACAAAGAAAACAATGTTGATGTTAGTGCCTTGTTCGTGATATAAAACGTAATCCATTTTAGAAGTAAAAAAATTAAACGTGTATAAATATAGGAAACGTATATATGCATTAACGTACACATATACATAGAAATAAGATAATATTTTAATGCATTTCATCAAGAACATATTTCTATTTGCATAATCATCATGGGAATCTCTTTTAACAATGTCTATCACATGTAAACATTATATAATCCAATAAGCGATAGTAGAGAGATGTAATCTCAGTAAAAAAAGTTGTCGAAAGTTTTTATATACCCTTTACAATTTTATACTTGCTGATATCATAAATATTTTTAATTCTTCGATACTTCGATAATTGTAACATCTAGCATAAGTGTGGTTATACGTCGTGACAATTCTGTACCATCGAATATGTTATGGCTATAACAATATTATTGAATAGCTATTATATACTTTTTTTATATATTCGTTTATTACGTTTATATTTCATTTTATTATTTGAAAATTATTGTGTTCATGTATTGTCATTTGTGTAAAATGTAATAAAATTTTACAAAAGTAGTGTGTGTTTCTTTTTCAGTTATGCATATAGGATCTCTCCATTTCACATCTTGAAAACGGCCTTGCTTATCTGTCCTTTTTTCAATGCATCGAGTGCCTCTTTATATTCGGACAAAGAAAATAGTTTGATTTCTAATTTATCGAAATCAAGATATCCCTCAGACAGTGACTGCAATAAAGCTAATCCTTTAGGAAAAGTATAAGGATTTATATTCACCCCTACGATGGTTAACTCCTTCTTATAAATCTGCCGACAAAAAGGATATAATGTTTAGCAAAAGAATCGGAAGATGCAGTTTTTGACTTACAATAGATTTACCTCAAACGGTTCAATTGCTAGTTTTGCTTTTGGACTAGCGACACCGAATACACATAAGCGACCACCGCGGCCTAACAAAGGCACTGCTGCTTCCATGGCTGGAACGCAACCGCTGCAATCCACAGCTAAATCAAACTCCCCTTTTACTTCGGTCGGACTTTTCACTTGATAATTTAAACCTATTTGCATATAATTATTATCATTAGAGATTTCTCAAACAAAATACAAAGTGATACAGTAGTTTTCATTATTTTCAATATATTACCGAGATTGGCGGCAATTTCTCTGCGCTTTTGTTGCGGTTCACTGATAGTCACAGTTTTTCTGAGACCATGTACGTGAAGCAAACAGGCCCATAGTAAACCTATAATACCAGCGCCTATCACAAGAACTTTGCTTCCTATATTTAGAGGATTAAGTATGTCCCAACCGTGAGCCATACATGATAACGGTTCGCTCAGCACAGCTTGGCGCATGTCAGTGTCATCCGAAAGTAAATACACCTACGAATCGTAGACATGCGGTAGATGAAAATGATATACGTATCACATATACATAAAGCGAAAATTTAAACAACAACAGAGACTATTTATTTAAATTTTCATCTAGTTTATACGTGCGTGTCAAATTTAATTTCTCTTATTCTCTTGATTTTTTTCCATAAAATTTAGTTGGTATTAAATTTTTCCACTTATTTATATTCAACTCGAAAGTTATCGACATTTTCATTTAAAAAAATATGATTCCGAATTGACTAAAGAATCTGCCATTAAATAAACATTTCAATTTTTGTTGGGATATTTTGTTTCTCGTACCTGCGTTTCTGGCACAGTAACGTGTGTAGCCCATCCTCCATCTCTGAAAATTCCTATAGTATTGTTTAACCCGCCCAGCGAGCAAAAATGATAATTCGCGTTGTGACAGTGATCGCATTTGTTGCACCCGCTGTTAGGATCGACCGCGACGCGTTGACCGATCTTAAAGATAGTCACTTCCGATCCAATTTCGTCAATTGTACCTACAAACTCGTGTCCGAGAGTCAACGGCTCGTCTTTCTTACAAGGAAAAGACCCCTAAAAGATACGTTAATTTAAAATAACTTTGCACGTAAATCGTATACCAGTGATATCGCGATAGGTCAACGATAATAAAATCCGCACTTGTTTGTCACAAATTGCGAAAGAAGTGCATTATCGGAATGTGACGAAATAAATAACTACTGATTATGGCAAGTAAAAAATGTATGTTTTCTCCGTAGTCTTAAAAATTTCCGAACGGAATAATAATAACACTCTAAAAATAAATAATAATTTATATAGTGATAATACTCTTGATAATTTAATTTTGCCACAATTCTACAGATAATGTAACAAAATTTTATATTACTTTTTATCTAACTTTATCAACTTTTATATTATGAATTATATATCTCGTAGCGAGTGATATAGCAATTAAAAAATGAAATCAAACGATGTCACATGAAATTTCGCAGCGTCAACTGTAATCTCGAAGATCATTGCAAACTTTCTACTTTCTACAATTATGACTATATAATATTTATACGAATCAAAGATCATCATACTTCCAGAATATGGAGATCCGTTCCACAGATGCCAGAATATGCGACTTTAATGCGAACCTCATTTGCCGCTGGTTTAGGAAGAATACCTCGTTTCTTTAAGGTGAGCGATTTGCTCGACAGATCAAAACTCAAGTATTCCATTGCACTTTGTATCTGCTTGAATCGCCTTGTTCGAGAACACTAAGAAAGCTAACTGCCATCATCCGATATTTATAAGCTTACGCCATGTGTTGTGTAATATTATAACAACATTATTATCAAATGTTTTGATAACAGAACGGCTGAAGTACTCAGATGTGTATAGAAGCATAGCAATTATCAGTTCGACGTTATCACGAAAGGATCGCGCCCGTAAAAATACTTAAGAATGCGTGATATATAACTATAGCTCGTGCGTTACGATGCATAGTATAAATAAAAATAAGCGCGATAAACGTCAAAGTAAAGTACAACAACAAATTTTCTTATCTTGAAATATAAAATTTCAAAATTTTAATAAAATTGTCCAAACGCGAGATATAACTATAGTACGTGCGTCACGATACCTACATGTGTAATTAGGACAAAGGCGCGATAAACATTAAAATTAAACGTAATAAATTTTTTTATTTTAAAATTTCAAACTTAAAATTAAAAAAGATAAAAATGTAGTGCAAATTCAACTGTGTATATAACTCGATATGCATTAAATTTTAAATGAAAAGTCCGACCAAAGAGGAATTTAATTTAATTACGGATTACAGCAATTTTGTCCCAGTTACGATCGTATTTTGTTGAATTACGAAGGCCGCTTATGCGTATTTAATATCACTGATTCAAGAGCAAAACTGTCTATTGAACCAATCACTATCAATTGAATCAATGGAAGATTTTAGATAAATCAGTCATATAGCAATGCAATCTTCCGATTCTCTTGCTAAAAATTATATCTTTTCTGTCGATAGGTTTTTAAAACAGAGTTGCTTATCTCATAAACATAAATATAAATCCCTACAGTTTTCCTATAAAAATTAGTTTTATTTAATGTTTTGATTAAAATAAATTAGAAATCAAGCTATTCTTTTGTTTTTATATAAACAAGCTTTCAATTAAAAAAAAAAAAAAAGAAAAAATAAATAAAGAAGGTTCAAGTTATGAAAATAGAAAATAAGAAATAACTTTTGCATAAAATTTTGTTACTTATTTCATAGAAATTCGATAGAATGCGTAAAGAACTCGAGCAGAATCGGTACAAATGCGGCTGTTTGACAACATGTTGGTAGTTTTACAGAATAATAAAGTGTTGACTAATGATAAGACTTTCGAGATAAGTGACAATTAATGATAAGTGTGATAACGATGCACTTCCTAGATCAAGCGCTATTTAGATGCGCGCGTTATCTGGACAGTTGTAGTAATGTGTTTTATGAGGGAAGAAAAAATGTAGATTTTAATACGAAAGATGTCGTCTTACATGTATGAAGAAGTAGTTACATGTCCAGTGAGTGTCATTTAGACGTGAGCTCATTCTTTCGCCGCGGCGTGATACGCCGCGATGCAGGAGCGGAAAATTCATTCATGCACGGTAGGATCGACTCGCTATGAACGAGCGTTCTTCAATTCATGAGAAATTTCGGGTCAACGGGACGCGGAGCTGGGATAACCGGTTGCACTGGAAAACCGGAAATAGGGTCGCGAATGACGTCATCTGGCGTTCAACGCCGTTCATTCAACCCCCAGGGATAAACTGGGTTACTGGGACACAAGCCACCCCTCCATCCTAATCTTTTCGCAGAACGAGATCCCCGACTGTAGAAAATAGAACCTCGTTAATTCACGATACAGCAACAAATGCATTAAAATACCACAGGGTTAATCACTAAAGACAGCGCTGAATATTAACATCAATTATGCAATATATGCTCTAAATAATACAATAAATCAGCTCCTCTTTATAAATAATGTCTAAAGAGTGCTGTGAAACCAGGCGCGTCCTACTGATCTACTTTAGGATCGACACGCGCCTGAGGGAATAGTCAACGTTCTTGAATCGAGTTATTTTGATATTTTTATTTGAATCGAAAAAATACAGGGTTTTCTGATACAATTAGCTGCCAAACAAATGCCAAAAAAATTTAATTGTGAAACAGAACACAGTTTCGTTAAACCAGTAAATAGAAATAATATGAATAAATTAGTTTCCTTTCCTTTTTCATTTTAAGCATACAATTGATATGATTCATTTTTCATTCATGCGGCCTTCCGTGATCTATATATATATATATTTATACACTTCCTGCCTAAGTCCTGTCGCTCTGTTGTATGTGAAAATAAATGTCTATTCTTTTACAAACTACTTGACCGTTGTGCATACTCAGATTGTCGGATACCACGCTCTAATAAAATTTTCCCTGGCCTAAATTTCCTCAAAAGCCGCGCTCTCAAGCGCCCATTGAATTTTTCGCTTATCATTACTTTTGTCCGAATACCATGATTAAAAAACAATTAGTATTATTACGTACTTTTGAGCAAAATATAAATAATAATATCGTTCATAATATATAAATGTGTCGACTTGTGCATCAATATGTAAATTTTCGCTCCTCGTAGTAGTATTTTTTCCGGATGAAAATCGTTCAAGGGGCAAAAATCGAATTGATTACTCCGATGCATTTTTCTAACGATTCAAGAAGAAAAAACTGACCCACAGATTGACATTTAAGCGAAGCAGTGCGAGCAAAGTAATGTAATAAATGTGACGTATGTAAACGATTGTGCTTTTTATTTTTATCTTTCTCTCCCTCTCGTACGCTATATGTACGCTATGAACGAGCGAATAAACAAAATGCGAGGTAGGTGTATATGTTTTACGACACGTATATGATAGATTAGATATTTTCCGTGAAAAGTATCCGCCGGGAACATCGTGTGAAAACACACAGGGGAGATATTTTCTCCACGGAGATTTGATATTTCCTACCGAAAACTCTGTGGAAAATATCTCCCCCGTGTATTCGCGAGTTAGCCAATGACGGCACGTGCTTTGGTTTCTGAACGAGCTGCATGAAGGTGAATGGACCGCACGACGTCACAGCCGCTCGAAGTAGGTCGTCGTGGACGACCCCGGTCGTGTATTGCCTTGTCCCTTGCCCATCGCCGCCAGCAACAGCGACGGCAGTACAGTTCATTGAAAAACCGCGGACTCTCGCGATCAATATCGCCTCCAATAAATGCATTAATAACAATTCGCGCGCGGCGAAATGAATTCTCGGGCCTTTGAGCAATAACGGGGTCAGCCGAGCCTGAATCTAAAAGCGGAAAGCAAATGAAAAAAAGAGGGAGAAGAAGAAAAACGGGAACCAGGGCGGAAAAAAGGGAGGGAAAAGCGGGTAGACAGACGTATGAGCGGAAAGCGGAAGCGACCGAGCTCTGCTCAATGAAAGAGCTCTATCCTCGCGACCGGGGCAGTCCATTGAAGGTTACACAGAATATTCGCATTGTGTATGCGAAGCCCTTTAATGCGAAGCCCTTTAATGCGAAACCCTTTTTGTCCTCTTTTCTTTGCCTTCTTCAATCAAATAATACAATCCAAATCAAGATTCGAGGCCTTTTCGCGTAACTTTAAGTAAACGAGATTTTATAAGCGCCTATATATATTTGCAATTTCACTTGAATTAGATAGTTTTACTTTCTGTAGCAAAACGAGTTTTTATTATTAATAATTCAATCCGTTCAAATCGTTAGTTAATTATTTATTGGAATAACAAAACTACACTCCTCCGGTTCATGACAAAGTTTGCTCTAATAAAATTTTAATTATGAAGATATATGATCAGAATTGTGTGTGCCATGTCGAGCTTCACTTCAAAGATCATCTATCAAAGAGAAAAAAGAAGAGAGACAAAGACTATATTAAACATTTTATTGCGCTCATCCGTCACTCAATTTTTGTAGAAAATTAATTTTTTTACAGAAAAATGAAAAAAATTATGATTCATAAAACCCGAAGATTTTCTGCTTAAATCGAAAGACTGAAAATCCTTTCTTAGAGTCCAAAGGCTCTAGGCCAAAATCGGAAAAATCCGCAATTCTATAAGCTTTGATGTTTTTCTTTATTCACGGCCATTTTGCCCCGCGTTCATTTTTCTTCGTTATCTTTGTTATCTACGAGAGTCATCGTAATAAAACGAAAAAAGAACGTATACAAAATGTGTTAGAAATGAAAAAGTAGCGATAAATGACAATTACCTCGACATTAAAAAAAATTGATTCCAAATTAAAAAATCTTACATTACAAATTACAACTGCTAAATTATTATTATAGGTCATCAATGTAGTAAAAATCACAGTATAATGTTTCGTTAATGCTAAAAATAGGATGGATACGTAAATCGAAGCGTTCGTAAGCGATCGCGTTCCTGCTCATTTAACGATTACGTGAGTTTCGAGTTTTTCCGGTTAATCATCGATTATTCCGCGCTTAAATAAGACGTACGTCGAAAAATATTCTGTTTCCTGCGGCGTGCTCACCGGAAACCGGATATGACGTCCGGTCTCAGTAAAATAAAAAAAGCATCTATTTTTCAGCAAGGTAAATTAATGTAAGTGGCATTTGAGCGACACTTAGAAAGCTATAGTTTTTTTTTCAATCAAGATCGGTCTTTTGCTACAAAAATAAAAATCTATGTAGAATAATGTATCTCATTTGGCACATTAAACTTTGATTAAATAAATATCTTACGACACATATTTTGCTTCATAAAATGTAACTTTTGTGTAAGAAATAGATTTCCGATGCATATGAGAACCGAGCTCTCATGCATTTATCGCGTATCCGACCGAAAACGGATATGACGTGTTACTTGGTCGATTAAATTCATTAAGAAAAAGTTTCATCTTTCCCTACTGTCGGATTCGATTAGATAGACTACTAATAATGATATTACGCCGTTTGTGCCGCATGTACAATGTCGATACGTGCTATCAGTGAGAAAAAAATATTAGAAAACAAATCGAGCCTTTTCTAAAACCAATGTGCGATAATTCGAGAACTCGAAAATCAGTGACGCTTAAATATTTCTTATCAGAGAATGATTAACTTTAGTTATATGATGCATGCACTTATCGTTGAAACTGCATCCCTGCATCCTGAGTAAATAAGATAATGTCGTTAATAACGTGTCCTTCGTACTTGACAGTCAAAATGCGGCGAAG